AGATTCCATCTCTGGATTGGATGGTATAATAAAAATATTATAATTAGCAACGTATGAATGAAATCGAGTATTTGATTTCGGGTTATTTCTATGAGATATACAAAAGGTTCACTCCTGATGAGGAATTTATAGATCCAATTTTGGAACATACTGTAAAATTGGTAGTACTACGATATTCTACATTAAATTTTGAGAGTTAGCACTAACCAGACTAGATAGAATATAGTATGAACATTATTTTTATGTATTTACAAACATTCACTTATATTAATTTTTTTTACCAAGATCCAAGAGTAACTTGTCGGTAGGCAAATGCCGTAAAAACCTACATATTGTGCAGGATCTTTATCTGAAATCACAAATTTTAGCCTCGATTGGAAAATGCGAATAAAAACTTATAAAATACCAAAACCATGGACCTATAATGATCATCTATTGTGCAGATGTATACCATGTAAGCCTATGTGAGCAATACCAAAACGTGAACCGATATACCCTAATTTACAATACTAAAAACTTCAACAGGCAGACTGACATTGCTAAATTGACATAGAATTTTATTCTGATTATGGAGCCTTTATATTAGAAAATCGAAAACAATAGATGTCCGATCGATTAATCTATACATTAGTGATTCTTATTCAAAATCTATTTCTAAATCTAATAAATCAAATCAACACTACAGTTTTTCTATGTTTCTAATGAACTTTTAATAGCAGCTCATAATCATAATATTTGGTTATTAGCTAATTAAGATTAAAAGCCAATATTTAGCTAATCATTAACTAATTTGATGATGGATTTCAGTTCAGTTTGAAATGACGAATTGATGGTGGCTTTGCAAAATCATAAAATTTTGAATGAAAACACATCAAAAACTGACCAAATTATTTTTATTCAAAACTGTAAAGAATTTCATTTTTCCTAAGGTTTAAAACAAACCCCCCAAACAAATAAATCAAATATTTCATCAGAGTGTATTAAAAAACCAGTGAGCGGAGCAGTATAGTCGGACGGAGCCGACCATGCGATACCCTACACAACTACCACGAACTCTAACTTTCTGAGGATGTTTATTCCGAGTCTGAGTAATATTTCGTGATATTTGCCCCCTCTTGTCCGATTAGAGGTTAACAACACCTCTTCCTTACTTTTTTCGAATATTCAGTACAGTCCTTCTAATTACTTGTCCAGATTACCTTCACGGTGGGTTGTGTTGTGATTTTCGGATTATACTCTACTCGAAAACACACAAAAAATTATGTTTTCGGTCCAATTCATCCCAAAATTTTAATCTGATCATCACCGAAAATTGTAGGCGTTGTTCTTGACCATAACTGGAACTTCATGAAAAATGTCAAAGCCATCAGCGCGATATTTCTCCCTCTAATGTGGTAATGGGTTACTGAATAATATCTGAATACGTAAACACCTGTAAATATTTGACTGTAACTCCCACATCTGAGTAGATACATCACTATATTTGGTATCAATTTAAAGGCCAACCACTCCTCTTGGATATGCTATTAACTCCTGGGGTCTACATCCTCCAGGAGTAAATATGTATGCCATAGAATACAAATTTTGTCATTTTTCACACAAAAGTCAGGGTCCATTTGACCCGCTAAATATTGACCGATCTTTATCAAAACATGCATGCTTATTCTCTGACCCGATCCCCTTCTCCATGCAAAAATTCGCGGTGTTTGGGCCATAATTGCGGCCTCTGGAGCGACCAGAAAAACCGACAAAAATTTAGTATTTGGTCCATTTCATCCCCTAAATATTAACCGATCTTTTCCAAAAACAATAGGGGTCTTCATTGGCCAGAACCCATCCTACATGCAAAATTTCGTGAAGATTGGTCCATAACTGTGGCCTGTATCGTGTTTACAAATTATAATGGACAGACGGACGGACGGACGGACGGACGGACGGACGGACACACATGTCTAGATCGACTCAGCTAGTCGAGATATGACGATCGGTATACTTAAAGGTGGGTCTAGGACCAATATTTCGCGGCGTTACAAACATTTGGGGCTGCACAAAGCTATAATACCCTGACAACATAGTTGTGTAGGGTATAAAAAATCACTCATAACTTTATGCAAATTTCGTTTTTATTTATTGTGTGAATGTGTTAAAAAATAAATTCAATAAATTTTAAATGAAACACACAACAAAAAATATATATTTTAACAATTTAATTGTTTATATACACACATATACACACACAAAAGAAGAGGTAGCAAAACAAATAGGTTTACAATATGCGAATGTGTGTTTAGAAAGGTTTGCATTTGGCCTGAAGAAGAAAATTCCGAAAATCGGGGGTTTCGATTAAAATATTTCTTTTTACAAATATTATTGTTTTTTGTTGTGGCTGTCTGCCGTTTTGTTTGATTCGACAAAACGGTTCCAAAATTTTGGGTCATCCTCTATTCACTCCAATTAGCCAGCAGATGTTGCCTTTCCCTTTAGCTTTTATGTCGCTGTTGTGCGTGTGTGTTTAGCTTAGGTAGAGGAGCAATGTGACTGAGGTATTTAAGCACTGCGGATTTCAGTTTGGGTCATCAGTCATCGAGCAACAGTTCAGCAGCTAAAGCAACACAGCTTTTTCCCTAACTAAACTATAACACTAAAAGCCTAAGCATAAACATGAAGATCTTTGTGGTACGTGTTTATTAAAGAAAACAAAATAAATAAATTAAAAAATTATTAAAAATAAGAGCTTATAAAAAATCAATTAAATTAAAAATAAATTTAAAAATTAAGAACTCAAAAAAAAATCATATATATCATACGGGGAACATTTCCCCCTCTCTGAAGTGCAAAAAATGTGAATTGTGACCACCAAGTCCGCTATCGCTAAAGTGAAAATGTAGTCGGAAAAATAATTCCACCTCAGAGGAGAGGTAATAACTACGGAGATAATCTACTCCTCAACCATTCAAAAATTTCGCGAAGAAGGACTACCATCTGTTTGAATATTCCGTGTCAAGTATGGATAATTTGTTTGAAAAATGTGCTTGTGAATTCCACCACTACTGCTCAGAGGGTTGAACATTTAACAGATCAATTTTCAAAAGAATTCAAAGATAACGGGTATTTTATTCACCTATTTAATAACAGATTAAAAATTACAATTCGAAATTTTATTAAAAAAACTCCAATATTCACCACTTAAAATTTCAACCGCTTTGAGGAGTCTTCACAATGGATAATGCGTAGAGGTCTTGAATATGAATTTCACCACACATAATTTAGAGTGAAAACATTTAAACAAACCTAAAAAATATCACCCTGGATCGAAAAAAATATTCACCATACTTGAAAAAATATATTCACCACATTAGGAAAAATGTCCATAACAGTGAATTGCAAATTCCTCCTGCGTTTTGTCATTAACATAGCCGATATTATTCACCACTTTTGTTAAAATTTTATTCACCACAGTTGTAAAATTCTTCACCACATTGTATTCAAAGAGTTTTTAAGACATAAACAAAATTATTCACCACTTTGGTAAATAATAAATAATAGGCCAAAACGTACTATAGTATGAAGTTCACCTTCTGAACAACTTTTGAGGATATTTCATGAAACTGAAGAGAAAAATATTCCCCATAGTCGAAAAAAATATTCACCCCACTTGAAAAATGTCCACCACGGCATAAATATATTTCACAATTGTGTATAATACATACCTCTTATGTTTTATCGATTACATATCCAAGATTATGCACCGCTGATTTTATTCACCACGCTTGTATATGTTCTCACCATAGCAGTAAAATTTATTTCACAACAGTGTTTAATAAGTATCCCACATTTTTTATCAGCAACGCACCAAAAAGTCAAAAATAAAAAATTCACCACGGTTGTAAACATTTTCACAATAGCGCATAACAAAGCCCATTTAAAATTTTACTCATTTTTTACACTATTATCCAGAAACATTCTAAATGATTTTTATAAAATATATTCACCACTTTGGTGAATAGTAATAAAATGAGTCCAAAAGCGAATACATTTGCAATTCAACTGCTAAGATAATTACCAAAGAGAAGGTTTTGGTTTAATTTTCATAAAAAACGATAAAATCGATATTCACCATGGCTAAAAAATATTTATACACATTTGAAATAATATTCACCATGGTCAAAAAAATGCTGTTTTTGTGTCGATAACACATCCACCATTATCTATAAACATTCAAAAATGCAGAAAGAAGATTTTTATAGCAAACAAAAAATATTCACCACTGTGGTGAATAATTACAAATAGTTTCGATTGAATAAGAAAAAATTCAATTCCATTGAACAGAGAAGAAGTAATAAATGACAGAAGAGTAAATTTTATATTCACCATAGTGAATTTTTAAATTCACCATAAGGAATTTTATACATTCACCAAAGGAATTTTATATATTCACCTTAAGGAATTCACCATAAGAAATTTTTTATTTATCATAGTAAATTTTATATTCACCATAGTGAATTTTATATTCTCCATAGTGAATTATATATTCACTACAGTGAATTATAAATTCTCCATAATGCATTCTTAATTCACCATAGTGAATTCTATATTCACCATAGTGAATTCTACATTCACCATAGTGAATTCTATATTCACCATAGTGATTTATATAAATATTTACCATAGTGAATTTTATATTCACCATAGTGAATTTTATATTCACCACAGTGAATTATATATTGACCACAGAGAATTATTTTCTTAATTCACCATAGCGAATTCTTAATTTTCCATAGGGAAATCTTTATTCACCATATTCATTTATGTCATGAACCATATTCACAATCAGCACATTCACATTCAGCACATTCGCCACAGACAAAATGCAGAAGAAATTCATCACAATGTATTTTATATACCTTAAATTTTATTCCACATTCACCACGGAATCAACCTATTAATTTCTTCTCATTTCCTCCTCATATCCCTTTTAGACACTTTTGGTAGCATCCACCATGGCTATGGCCTACCCCGATGTCAGTTCGAAATCCAGTTACAACTACAATGGCAACAGCGGCTATTATGGACAACAGCAGAGTCTCATCCCCTCCTCCATCCTGAAACCCAGCCAGCAATATCTACCACAACAGCAGCAACAGCTTGGCTTCCAAACCCTGGGCTCCCAAAGCCAACGTTATATCGTACCCTCCAGCCAACAACAGTCGCAACAACAATCCATTGTTATGCGTTTCCCCATGCCTGCCGATTTCCCTGCCAATTTCAATTTCCAACCTACCTTTGCCAGCAAGCCCACCCGCCGCTATCGCCCCCGTCAACGTATGGTCAAGAAACCAATTGTAACCAAGAATTTCTTCATTCACTCTGCCCCCGAGGAAACTCAAGCCGAAATCGATGAAGAATTGGCCCAATTGCAACAACAACCCCGCAAACATTACAACGTGTTGTTTGTAAAGACACCCAGTCAGACCAATAAGGCTGCTGCCATCAACTTGGCCAAGGCTCTTAAGGAAGAAAAGACTGTCGTATATGTTTTGGCTAAGAAGACCTCCGCCGCCGATTTGCAAGATGCCATCCAAGAGGCACCTCAACACATCAACAAACCTGAAGTGTTCTTCATCAAGTACCGCACTCCCGAAGAAGCTGCCAATGCCCAACGTCAAATCCAATCTCAATACGACAGCTTGGGAGGTTCCACCACCATCACTGATGAAGGTGTTGCTCCCAGTACTTCTGTTATTGGTTCTTTGGATGCATCCGCCGAGGAAGAAGATGAAGAAGAGACCAAGCAACAACAATTGCAACAGGAACAACAAGCCAGCGGTGATTATGGCGTGCAACAGCCCCAACAGGTTCAATACGATGAACAACAATTGGTGAATGCCATCCAAACTGCTGCCGCCACAAATGGCGGCTATTTGCCACCCTCCAATCAGTTCTAAGAAGATCTTCGTTGTTAGATACCCCCCTCTTAATGTTATTTAGTTAGTTATGAAAGCTGTTACGATGATTGATTCGTCATTACGCCCCTTAGGCGTATCCAAAGTTTAAAGCCATTTCGCTTAGGGTGTAATGAAATCGATCTGGTTTGTTAGACATTTTTTGTTTTAGTCTAAGTTTTAGGTTAAGTTTCATTTACACATGCTAACAAAAAAAAAAAATCATTTATATTTTTTTTTCTCAAAATCAATCACATCAAATAAAAATAATTTGAAAATTTATAAAAAAAATGATTTTCTTTCGATTTTGTAAATATGTATGTTACGATGGCTGGCTAAGAGTTCTCATGAACAGATTAGAGTTAGCCCACCACGAATAGATGGTGTACTCTGGGTACCAAATGCCCCAATTCTTCATAATGTTGCTTTCATTGATTTAATGAATCGTAGCATTAACATGATGAAATGTTTCATTAAATCAATGAAATCTTCATTTTATGAAATTTGTTCATAAATTCTATGAATTCATACATTATATAACATTTTATGATTTATTGAAATATTTTAATAAAACAATGAAATTATTTCATTAAGGTAATGAAAAGTTTCCATTGCGATAAGTACCTTCTTATACATTAACTTTAAGTTGAAGGGGGAATGTACCCAGTTATGGTTGATTGTATTTGATCGGAATGACTTTATCAATATAAAGACAATAGGCTCCAGATGCCATGGAACCATACCGGTCTCAGTCAATTTCTAATCGAAATGGGCCTTCTGTTGTGTTATATTTTCGATAACTCTCTGAGTTTATCCGTACGTGAAATTAGTTTGACGCCGTGTTATTACCATGCGAACTTGGTGTCCAATCGGCTTGTCCAATATGTAATTATCTGTTCTCCGAAGTGTTGAGAATAGGTTGAGTCAAACGCAGCAATACTCATTCTTCACCCAACCTGAATTTTCGTAATCAAATATTGCAATGATTTCCAACATTCTACGGAGTAGATGTTCTATCGTTTCCGTCTTTTCTTTCTTCTAGCATTAACTGCAGAATCAAAGGTCCAGTTGGAAATGAGGGATCTAATTCTGATCCCACAACTTAGTTTTACTACTTATTTATCGAGAGAAATTAGTTAATTATATCCGCTTCTAGAAATCGCCGGACAAATGGATTTTACGGTCTTGCGTCCAGGTTCCTAACACCACCTAGTTTCATATTTCTCCAAGTAGATCTTATGGATTCCTACCAAAGTTAGATCGTTCCAGAACTGTTTCCCAAAATGAACTATCTATCTTATATGGGCAATATTACCAATTTTTTAACATAGCTGAAGCGGAGGTTCACCCCTTTATAACTCGGGAACTACTTAAGTATATGAAAAAAGTGAATAGTTTTGCGTTAATTGATCTGTCGTTGCAAACTGTTCATGATATTGACCTCCAAACTTTATTTTTGTGGAAGCTGTGTCTACTTTAATGTAAAAAAATGTGTAAAAACAGGTTGAGGCGAACCAGTTTTTTTATGTTCTCTATCGATTTGTGACTAAGCCACTCATTGCACGGTCTTCGTGTCAAAATAAAACTAGAAGCCAACAAAATGGGGACTACGCCCCTTATGTATCATTTTTCAAAATTTTAACTGCATCTACCTTTAAATGATGCTGACATTTTGAAGCTCGATTTTGAGTGTTTTTTTAATTTTACTTCTAGCTTTAATACGCAAACAGGAATTTATAAAAATCGATTATGAGATTATTGTAGTCGCGAATCTGCGTAATTTGATATGTATTTTGTGTATGTAGTATGCACAGCTTCAGAGTAATACTCATCCGAAGGTGCGAATTTTGTGCGATCAAATTTCTAAAAAACCTATTTTTCGGGCCAAATTTTTAGATCTGTCAACTGAATGATATGGGTACCCGCGATCAATAAGGTTTTTCACGTTTCGGATGATATAAAATCTTCTTCGTGAAAATCCATCTACTAGAACGGCGGGAACTGGCCTTCCAAAAAAACGAAATTTGGCAAAAAATGTTTTTGAAAATATCGCGGATTTATTTGCGTTTTCTGTGTATCATTTCTGCTTCAATAAATGACCTCATACGGATTTTGATTTTTTTCGAAAAGAGAACTTTAAAAACTTCAGCTGAAAGAGAGATGTACGCAATTTATCTCAAAAATAGATTGTGCTGGCACATCCATGGTTCTTAATGGACCACATTGAAATCGGTATAGATCGATGTATTTTTTTAGAGTGCACACCGAAATCGGATGCGCGTTAATGGCATATGGAGTTTTCGGAAATTATTCGCGTTTTACGATTTTTTGGGTACTTCAATGTAACGGGCGGCACATCTTAGCCGTCAAATGAAATTTCGCAAAATATATATGGATTGGAGGATAAACTTCAGTACTTCCTGGAAACCGCATGCCCATCAAATGATTTTGAGAATTACGCTATTTAGACGCAATTTATCTCAAAAATAGTGTGAGCTGGCACATCCATGGTTCTTAATGGACCACATTGAAATCGGTATAGATCGATGTATTTTTTTAGGGTGCACACCGAAATCGGATGCGCGTTAATGGCATATGGAGTTTTCGGAAATTATTCGCGTTTTACGATTTTTTGGGTACTTCAATGCAACGTGTGGCACATCTTAGCCGTCAAATCAAATTTCGCAAAATATATATGGATTGGAGGATAAACTTCAGTACTTCCTGGAAACCGCATGCCCATCAAATGATTTTGAGAATTACGCTATTTAGACGCAATTTATCTCAAAAATAGTGTGAGCTGGCACATCCATGGTTCTTAATGGACCACATTGAAATCGGTATAGATCGATGTATTTTTTTAGGGTGCACACCGAAATCGGATGCGCGTTAATGGTCTTGATATAATCCGCAAGGTGTATACTTATATACAAGAAGTGATTATTATTATATATGTCAACTTTTTCGGCGAAATTCGGGTAAAATAGCAGAATAACCCCAACATTTTTTTCTGAAATTTCTTGTATACAATTAAAAAAATAAATATGATGACATTATTTTTTCGAACCAAAAACAAATATTTTTCCTCAATATCTTGTTTCGTTGTCGCTTTGATTTAGAAACCGCTACACGGACTTGTGTGATTTTGATATCATTTGATTCATCATGGTGTTTAGATTATGTAGATATTTTTAAATTAATTTTTAGGTGTGTGTATGTTATTAATATAATGAAAATATTGATGTAATCTGCTATATATTTTTTTATTTTTCTCATATTTCGCGAATATGTGTAATATATTCATATTCTTATTTTACGGAGGAAGATATATATCAACGTTTTTGGTCAATATAATAAACGGCGTAATTTTAAGATTTTTTTCTTATGCCCAAAATTAAAACCTCGATAACTTTTGCGCGCATCAACCAACATTTTGATCGCGAACGGTTTCGGAGTCAGAACATTTTTCTCTATATGTGTACCAAAAATCATTGATGTGCCACAAAAACAAAAAAGCTGATTTTTTGAAAATGGAATATTAAAAAATTAGCAATATTGCCCATATACGTTTTTAGACCCTACACAACTATGTTGTCAGGGTATTATAGCTTTGTGCAGCCCCAAGAGTTTGTAACACCGCGAAATATTAGTCCTAGGCCCACCTTTAAGTATACCGATCGTCAATCTTGAGTAGCTGAGTCGATCTAGACATGTGTGTCCGTCGGTCTGTCTGTCCATTATAATTTGTAAACACGATACAGGCCACAGTTATGGACCAATCTTCATGTAGGATGGTTTCTGGCCAATATTGTTTTTGGTAAAGATCGGTTAATATTTAGGGGATGAAATGGACCAAAAACTTTATTTTTGTCTGATTTTCTGGCCACAATTATGGCCCAAACATCGCGAATTTTTACATGGAGAAGGGGATCGAGCCAAAGACTAAGCATGCCTGTTTTGATAAAGATCGGTCAATATTTAGCGGGTCAAATGGGCACTGCATTTTTGTGTGAAAAATGACAAAATTAGTATTCTATGGTGTATATAATTACCCCTGAAGTACATCGACCCGATAAGTTGATAATATATCCAAGAGGAGTGATTGAGCTTTAAATTGATACCAGTTGCATTGTCGTGGTATCAATTTAGAGGTCAATCACATCGTGGGATGTGGGAGTTACACTTCAATATTTACCGGTTGTTTACGTATTAATATATTATTTAGTAACCCATTACCACACTAGAGGGCGGAAATATAGCGCTGATCGCTTTGAAATTTTCCATAAGGATCAAGGACAATGCCTATAATTTTCGGTGATGATCAGATAATAATATTGGGATGAAGTGGACCGAAAACATATTTTTTGTTTGAAAGCCGAACACCACAACCCAACCCACGGTTAAGGGAATCTGGACAAGTAATTAGAAGAGGGTGCAGATATCGCGAAATATTGCCCAAGCTCAGAATATAGAACCACAGAAAGTCAGATTTTCGTCGAAGTTGTGTAGGGTATAATAATAATGGTCGGCCGCGTCCGATTATACTGCTCCGCTCACTGGTTTCGGCTTAATTTAAAACGATTTTTGGTTTATTTTTTAATTTATTTTTATTGTTTCAATATTTCTACCGATACTAGGTCCGGTTGTTTCGTTTTTCTTCTTCCTATAGATTCACTTATTCATGTTTACTCTCGATCAAAATAACCGTGTTTGTAATCAAGTTCCCGTTAGCAGAGAGGCCACGTGGTCGGCAGAGGTTTAACACCGGGAAAATGACTGGAAGCATCCTAATCGAGGGTATAAAATGAAGAAACAAATTAGACTCTTGATTTGTCGGTGCAGAGCGGCCAACCTTTCAGGAATCTACGTAGTGAAATGATCATCGGAGAAAGAACGCGGTGAGTGTACAATTGGTGATGAAAGTGATGTTAATCTATCGAAACAAGAGCCGTTGTGGGCTTGTGATTATAAGTGATTAACCTGGTGAAATTACAAAGGCGTCGTGGGTCTTTCTTTTAATGTAAGTTTTATTAAATCGTAATTATAAAAAATAATTTTTTTTACCGAATCGAAAAAAAGAGCTGTCTTCGGTATTTTTTTTGAAGAAAATTGATTTTAGCTGAACGAAAATAAAGAGCGGGCCTTTAGCTTAAAAGTTCTATACAGAATCGAAATAAAGGCCTGTCAAAAGCCTTTATTAAAAAAACAGTGATTTTAATCGAACCGAAATAATGTGCTGTCGTGTCGGGAATTTTTGTTTAAAAATAATTTTAGCAGAGTCGAAATAAAGAGCCATAGTGTGACTTTACAGAAAAGTGTTTTAACCGTAAAGAGCCGTCGATGCCTACATCGAAAGCAGTGTGAGTGATCGTGAAGTTAAGAAGCCGTCTGGGACCGCTGCCCACCCTCTTAAGAAGCATCGACCCAAATTCCATCACGTAGCCAGTAATTTGTAGTACCAACAGCCGTGCCGAAGCAGTAACCGAACAGATCCAGACCTTGCTGACATCAATCTCCTCAATTTAAGTATATGGAATTTATATATCAGTTTAAGTTTTGAATTTGAAAACTAAGTCCACATCTTTTCACTCTCGTTCACTTCAGTACAAATTTTCTGTGACGATGCCTACCTCCCGGTAGCATATCCCAGCAACCAGAGGAAACTTGTCGTTACAAAGTAAAGTCCCAACAAACTTTTAAATTGTTTTCATGAATTTTTTTTGACATCTTTATTTGTTTTCCTTAAAAACTATTGTTTTTTATAAAATATATTTTAAATTCATTTCTTCGCTAAATATTACAGTGTTTATCTTCTTCTTAATGTTAACTAATTGTTCGCAATGGCTTCAGATCCATTTCACTCTACTCCACAACTCCACACACTTCAAGGACTAACAGCTACCACTACCAGCCATATTGGTCAGAATCCAATCATGATAATAGGCCACACTGGCAAATACATCTGGATAACCGACGGCACAGGGTTCACCCCAATTGACAATACCAACCAAGACCTTATTAACGGCATCATAGAGGGGACCACCAGAATCGTTGTGACAAGATCCCTTGCCATTTTTCGTGTCGGTACAAATATGACCAGTTCCCAACCATTGGGCTTTCTTTACCGCCGACGAGCACTTATCATGATCCATATAATCCAAATCGGCACTTTGTAAAATATCAGGGGTGCGACCCCATAGCTTAATGCTACCCCAGCCGGAGAGGGTCAATCTATCACCTTCTTTGAGGGTATTGCTGGTGGCCAATTCCACAGGTTGAGTTTTTTCATTGTAGACAATAGGTTTTGAGAGCTTGATCAGGGCAATATCATTGTGATACATGGGTTTGTTGTATAGACAATGGATCTTCACATCTTGTACCAAATATTCAGCATCGGGTTTAGTCCAATTCACAGTACCGGTAACAATTTTCAAATACTGCTGTGGCCATTCCAAACAATGAGCAGCAGTTAAAATCCATTCGGGGGAAATAATGGAACCACCACAAATATGTTCTCCAAATGTTGTTTGTATTGACACCTGGAAGGGTATGGCACCCTCGGGAACATCTGAACCACCAATGACGCGAGTGTCAATTAGCGGTGATATACCACGACCTTGTGCCAGTGAACTGAATACAGTCACGGCAATTGTTATGGTTAGAAATAGTTTCATTTTTTTTTTTTTTGTTTTCCTTTTTCGAAGTTCCGATTTTTTACTTCGTGTTACTTTCTTTCACTTCACTTATTAGAATGTTTGCAAATATTTCCTTAACTTTTACTTTTATAGCATGCCGGTAATTTTCTTTTAAGCAGAATGTATTGGGGCTTCACAAGAGTCCATGATAATAGTCCAATAAAAACAAACAGAACTCACCTGCTGGCCCGCCCAGATAAGGTATGTGAAGAAGGAGGGTGGTGGGTTAAGGTTGTTTTTATCACACTTGAGCTGTCAAATAAAACGATTAGCATTTTTTGCGGAAGTTTTTTTTTCGGTTTCCACTGATAACGCCAGCATAGACTACTACTAAAACCCAAAGAAGTTCTTCCGAACAGCTTACTAATAATTGATAAGATATTTGTAAATTAGTAGTGTAGTTGGAATCGATTTGTTTGCGAAGTTTTCTGTTTCTACGTTTTTAGCATATAGACCAAAACAAAAAATTAGTCACTTGCGATTTTAATACAGCTGTGATTAATAATCTACGGTTCCGAAGAAGCCACTTCAAACATTTGACTAATGGTTTGTTTATTTTTTTGCAGGTATATCAAAGTCCAAAATAACAACAATTTTATAAAATTTATTGTAAGTATTGATTGGGTTGATAGGCTTTGAAAAAATATTCTTTAAAAAATCCACGCCTCTGATAAGCCTTGAAAAATATTCTTTAAAAAATCCACGCCTAAGATAAGCCTTGAAAAAAGTCTTCTTTGAAAAATCCACGCCTTGGATAGGCCTTGAAAAAAGTCTTCTTTAAAAAATACACGCCTATGATAAGTCTTGATTAAAAAAAACAACAACAAGAGATTCAATAACATTTTATTAATTTTTTATTACCCCATAATCTTAAAAAAATAATTACAATTTTTTCCATTTTCCGAAACTTCCCCTCAAGGAGCCATAGCACAACCCTGAATAGAGGTACGAATAAAATCGTAAAAGAATGAAACCTTAGCAAAAACATCTGGGAAACCATGACCACAGGGTACACCCCAGTTACCAATGCCAACCAAACGTCCCTTAGAATCAACCAAAGGACCACCAGTGTCACCATGGCAAGCACCCGAACCATAAGGTGGCTGGACACAGATATGACCATCATCAACATCATCGGCATATTTACCATAGATACGCTTGCATTCTTCATTGCTAATCACCTTGCCCGACAACTTCTTCAAATCCGATGGGAAATAAGTTTGACCCACCTCCCAATTACCCCAACCGGTCATGGTTACCACCTCACCTTCTTTCAAATCATCCAATTGGGCCATGGTAATGTTCTGGGTCTTTTCATCATAGGCAACATAGGTGGCCAATTCGAGGACAGCAATATCGTTGTGATACAATGGCTTATCGAAATTGCAATGGGTATAGACTTCCGCAACTTCGTAAAGCCAAGCCAAACCCATCCAGTCATTGGTACTCATGATCACCTTAATGTTACGTTTTTGCTGGCCAGCTACGCAACTTGCAGCGGTCAGGACATGTTTATCTCCGATGATGACTCCTCCACAGAAATGATTGCCATATTGATTTTGCAGGGTAACCTGCCAGGGTGCTGAACCTTCGGCAGCTATCTCACCGCCAATAATGCGGGATTCAATTTTCTGTTCTTTGTCGTCCCCCACCTGCTTCACTTTTTGGGGTAAATCTGCAAATCCCTGGTGGACTCTTAAGGCTTCCGTAAGGGAGATGGCCAACACCATAGCAACCACAAAGGCTATGGTTGTGAAATTAACGAAAGACCTCATTTCGAATGGAAAGTAAATTGTGAACTGTCCGATGGAATTTTTAACTGGCCTAGTTTATACTTCGTTTAATGAAATAAAAAATAAATATTGGATATTGGTGTATATCATAAAACGATATCGTGCAAATGATATCTCTCTAGCTGATATATAGTTTCGATATCGACAATTTATTTTTGATTTGCCTGGAAGTGCAATATAGACAAGAACTTTTATGTTCTCGTATTTTGGATTTTTTTATCGAATTGGTTGGATTTTTATGGCGGGCCATTGTAATTTGTGTTTTTATATTATTTACCTTCGAGTGACCAGATTGTGATAAGTGTGGGGTTCTGCAGCTCAAATCAGTTGGAAGTAGTTGTTCGTTTGATTTGGAACTCAAGGTAAGTTGATTTGTGTGTAATCGGGAATTTGATTTGCGATTTTGGAAATATATGTAAAATATTATCGAATAGAATATTGAAAATGTTTTCTTTTGAGAGGTCGAAAGCATTTAACGGCACATATTATTAAGTTAGGCATTTGTTGCCATTTTCAACAATAGAAAAGACCACGGTTTAACCTATTAGGGATTTTGGGTACGATAGGGCTCTTATTGGGTTCTAATTGGGTGTTAAATCTTACTTACAAAAGTGTTCCGTGACATAGCCCCTAAACGATCACAGATATTTCAAGGAAGGTATAAAAGGATCGGCTCTTACTATAGGAAGATTATTTGGACAGAACCACGGTTTAACCCATTAGGAATTTTGGGTACGATAGGGCTCTTATTGGGTTCTCATTGGGTGTTACATCTTACTTACAAAAGTGTTCCATGACATAGCCCGCCATATCTCTAAGGCCCTAAACGATCACCGATATTTTAAGGAAGGTATAAAAGAGAATCTGGCCAAGGAATAAGCATGAATGTTTTTATGAAGATCGGTTAAAATTTAGCGGGTCAAATGGATCAAGACTTTTGTGTGAAAATGAAAAATTTGTATTCAATGGCCTACATATTTGCCCCTAAAGGATATAGAAAAGTTAATAATACAATTCAGATATACGTAAATATTTACAAAGGTCTACCTATTCTGATTACCATTAAAACACACATATATATATATATATGGTGCTCATCGTTTTGAAATTGTACACGAAGTTCCGGTTATGGTCAAGGACGATAGGCGCGTTCTTGGAGATGATCAAATGATATTTAGGGGATAAAATGACCAAAAACTTAATTTTTGGGTGTTTTTTTTTTTTAATTCGTCCTATAGGTCTGAATAATAAGCCTAACATCACATGGGGAAGGGAATCTGGTTAACTAATTATAATAGCTGTTTTTTGATTTAGCGGGTAAAATCAATCAAGACCTTTCTGTGTAAGATGACAAAATTATTGCGTAAATATCACCCCGGGAAAAATATTCGGAAAATATGCCAGGGTAGGAAATAGTAGCTGTTGATCGCAAATCGGTCAAGATGTTGGAAATATCGTGAAATATTACCCAGTCACGGAATACTGATCCGCAGAATGCCAGCATTCCATGGTGGTTGTGTATGGTATCATATGGTAGGTACCGTCCGACTATACTGCTCCGCAGACTGGTTTTTAATTTGATATTCTATGTGCAGCAAAATGCAACAATTTTAAGTAAAGGGAGGGAAAGGTACCAATATTCTGAGCTGTTACCTTAGGAATTATACACTTAAACGAAATATTTGAGAGGGAATCTGAGGCATATAATTCATAAGTTCGACAACATGTTAAAATACCGAACATCGGAATTAATCATATATGAGGCTCCCAAAACGAATTCTATATCGGACATTTTTGACAGGGCGTTTCCTATACAGCAACAAATACCAAAGCTAAATTACAAACAATTGCGTTGGAAAATGTGGCTAAAAATATAGCAGATTTGAGGTATAGTTATGACTAAAATTTGATCCGACATAGCCAATCTTCGAACTTTACGTGACTGCTAGAGTTCGGCTGTTAGAAACGCACCAACATGTTCAAAGCATATATTCACCAAAAGGAACGACACGTACTAGGTACGATACATTTGTTTATTGCGTTCCTTTAGATCACTAATGCTCAAATTAGTTCGATAGCGATGATGGCTAAACACGTAGTCTATTTTTTCTCTTTTCGTCTGTTATTTTTAATGATTATTACGATCCCACATATCTACTCACGATTTAGTTCCGATCAACACTGCTTTAGATCCAATTGTTCATTTTTGAATCTCTCTCTCTCTTTCATCGTTCTGTTTGTTTCATTTTTTCGCTCACATAGTTCCGTGTTGATTCGTTGATGGAAGAAAATAGTAGACAAATTGAGCAAAGATGGAAAAAATGATTTTAATTAATTTTAATTTAGTACATTATTCCGAAAGTACAGAATTGAACTGCAGGATGATGAACACAAAATAATTTTTTATTTTAGTCTACTTTATTTTCACAAATATTGATGCTTCTGAAAAACGAACGAGAAAGAGAAGAAGAAAGAAGAATTGAACCTAGTTCCTATCGTTCATTTATGGGAATAGTTCCAATGAACTAGTCAGAATTAGAAATAAATATACTCCTTGTAGACGATTTTGAACATAGATATACGATTTGACATAACGCACATATGGAGGATCCGCAAAACTTTAGTTATTATGACATTCTATCTGCATTTCCAACTGTAATGACTTGAACGTTTACAGAAATACTTTGTGTGGCCCAAGATCTCGAGATCTTGAAAAGGGTTTATATAGGGTAATAATTAATTATTCGGAGACAACTCCGGAGTCGAAGTGTAGTTAAAAAAATTGGATCGAAGTCTAGACAATTAAGTTCGATTCGGCAGCCCTGGACAAACAACATAAATAAAGGGTGGAATTCCAAACCTCCGTTTTTTTGTCTTCTGAAATTATGTGGTATGGCCCTTGATATTGCGAAAACTAAACGATATCCTCATTAAAACGTCTAACCCCATTTTTGATATGTTGATTACGCGGTCAAACGATTTTCTCCTTTTCTGATGGGAACATAGAAAATAACTGTCCTCTCACTCGATTATGAGTTAGTTTAGTTATCATGTTTTTTTTTATTATTTATTTTACCTAAATAGATGATTGGTTTGCTGTGGTGATGTAATGGGGCTGCCATCTATCGGTGCATAGAAACATCCTTGAATTTTTGCAGTGGTTGGCATCCTTGCTCATTTAGTGTTATAATTTCCCTCTGGGTGGCGCTGTCATGTTAATGCTAAGGTTAAGACATACCCACCGAAATCAAAAGGTTTTTTCGAAAGGAATTTGGAAAAAATTGTGTTTCCAAACGAATTTGGTCCAAATTTGGATTAAAATTATTGAGAAATTCGGAGGGAACTTTCGATTTTCTGAGAGCAATCGTTCGGAATTCGAAAGAAGAATGGTTTATGTTTACTTCGTATGAACATCATAAAAAAAATCCACCACCAATTATTCATGTTGGATATTTTTTTCGAATTTCTTACGAAAACGTGCATACTTGGGGTAAAAAAAGCAGGACAATGTGGAGAAATTCTAAAGGAAATCTGCCCAATTTCTAAGACAATTTTAGAGAAATCGGAAAATTGCTAAAATACAGAAAGCTTGGAAAATAATTCTGAAATCAGAGGCCTCGTAAAAAAATAGCTGTGTAGACTACCAGGCGTCTTCACGTGTATTTCATTTGTGCGCATAAGAACAAGTTAATTTTTCTCCTTTATTATAGGCCCTAGCAGCATTTTTCAACCAATGACGATGTTGTTTCACACTTCGGTTTCTGAGTGAATACATTTTTGTTGAAAATTGTCAATATAGTTACATGTTATGAGAGTCCCGGCCGATTTGAGGTATTTTGAAAGTTCCTAGCTGTATTTTTCAACCGATGTGATAATTTTCGGTCATTTCGGATTTCCGAGGATACAAATCTGTAGGAAACACATATTATTTACTAGGTTTCTATTTTGACACAGCCTCAATAAAAGTGAAAAACACTAGCAATACCCAAAGTGGAGAAAATTATCAGGGAAAAGGTGGTATTTTCAAAAGTGAGAGATGAAAGTTAAGAAAAATGTGAGCGTGAGCAAATCGAGATGAACAGGAGTCAGAACGAAGTACGTAAATTTTACCAACGAGTAAAACACCAAACCGACGGCTTTGGTGCGGGAAGAAGAAGTAAACCTTTTGACAGATACAGACAGGATACGAAAGAAGCATTTTACAAATCTTCCGAAATGAAAAAGTGACGACGAAGAAGATACCCCAGAACCAATTAGAGAGGTCAGTAAGGCCTCGGAGCCCTTCACCAAACGAAGATGCAAACAAGGTTACAGTCTGTCACGTGATCTCTTTTACATCCTGCTGAAGAGGCAAACGTGGACAGAAATGGCAACCTGTACACCAAACAACACATGTCACTCGTCTACGCAGATCAAACTGGTGGTATCAACGCACAAGACGTCCAGTAGACTCGGCCCAACTGTGGAACATCAAAACTGCAGCTTAGAGGTAGTGAATGATTTTATATACCTCGTCACCGACATAAACAAAACTAGTAACATCAGCTTTGAAATCCGGACAAGAATAGTGTTGGGTAACAGATGCTACTAAGGTCTAAGTAAGCAATTCAAAAACAAAACCACCTCTCGCCAGATCAAATGCATTATCTGCAAGACGCTGATACTATCCGTGCTGTTGTATAGATCTGAAGCATGGGTACTTGTGCAAGCAGATGAGGAAGCTCGTGGAGTGTTTGAGAGAAAAATTCTAGGTAATATTGGGAGAATGGATGGCGATGCCCCAGCACAAAAGGCATAAAAAACGAAACAACTGATGATTGAAACAGAAGGGGAAGGCCACGAATTCGATGGAAAGATCAAGTAGAAGACAACATATCGGAACGTGGTCTTTCATATTGGAAAAGCTGCACACAAAACCATCGCGCTTGGAAATCTTTCACATTGGCTCAGTAGTTCCTTTAAATAATTATTTCGATTAAAATTTAAAGTGACCTTAAAATGTAAAAAAAAAATCCTTGCGATCGCCTCATATACCAGTCCATACTCATAAACGAATTGTTTACCATATTTACGAATATTTCATCAGCTAAATATGATAGGTATTTTTTTAGCTTGTTCTTGGTAAGCATGTGATACACGAACGATAAAACCAAAATAAATACAAATTTGGAAAATCATTACTGCTTAACTGGCCAGCCAGAGCTGTAAAGATTTTGGAGTAATTAACGATAATTGTTGACAAAGTGCAACAACAATTATGGGGAAAACCCACTAACAAATTGGCCTAATCAAAATTATTTTCATTATATTATTGGTCAGTTCAGGGTATCGAATATAAATGGTTTATAGCCTCTGATAGCCTGAATCCAAAAAAAAAAAAAAAAATGAAAAAACACCTCTCTTACCAAAACAAAAAAGTATTGGCGGCGGCATTTTCTCTCTGAACCACAAACGCATAAATAACGGATCGTAATGTCATTAATGGCACATTATGGCCAAAACAACGACGTTTTGCTGTTTGAAGAATATAACAATTTAATTTCGTCACGAGTAATATCGTCCAAATAAAGAAAAAAATGCAATCGGTTAATATCGTCGGGAGGGCCATAAAGGCGTGGTGTCATTTATCATTGGTCATTTTTATCGTACTCAGTGCTGGGAGAGTGGAGGGCAAGCGGATTCACCCTGATTATAAAAATCAAGCAGAAGCTAACATGGAAGGCCGTATTGTGGGCGGTGAGGTAGCCCCGGTGGGGTTTGCACCCTATCAAGTCTCCATCCAATCGATATTTGGCTCCCATCTCTGTGGCGGGGTAATTATCGACAATGAATGGATATTAACGGCCGCCCATTGTGTACAAGACTACCCACTTGATGTACTGCGTGTCATATCGGGCACTAATAATTGGCGACAACCTGGAACTGTAAGTCTGTTGGAAATTGCTATACCCCATTGTCGTCACGATCAACCGGAATATCATAATGACATCGCGGCAGTGCATCTGGATAAGCCGCTGGTCTTTGATAATTACACAAATAAAATTGAATTATCCCGAGAGGTGTTGAAAGAGGGTGACATTATCACCATGACCGGTTGGGGTGCTATGCGTTTGAATGGTGAACCTCCCGAACTTTTACAAAAATTAGATTTTAATTTTATTCCCCATGAAGAATGTCGTCGTCGATGGGATTATGATGAAGGCGTGGGAGTGGGACATATTTGTTCCATGACTAGAGAAGGTGAGGGAGCTTGCAACGGGGATTCTGGTGGACCACTGACATTTAAGGGGAAATTGGTGGGCCTGGTTAATTGGGGTGCACCCTGTGCCAAAGGTAAACCGGATATGCATGCCAGTACGGTGTATTATTATGATTTTATACAATTGGCTTTGAATCAATGTACTAGGTTAAGGGGATGAGGGGGGTACTCATTTTTAATAACTTTTTTGTATCGGATTTTTATAGAAAATAAATTAAAGAAAAAAATGTTTTTTTTTTTATTAAACAAAACCAGACGAGATTTTTTAAAGAATATTTTTCAAGGGTCAGGCCTTGAAAAAATATTCTTTAAAAAATCCACGCCTTTCGAAGGCCTTGAAAAAATATTCTTTAAAAAATCCACGCCTTTCGAAGGCCTTGAAAAAATATTCTTTAAAAAATCCACGCCTTTCGAAGGCCTTGAAAAAATATTCTTTAAAAAATCCACGCCTTTCGAAGGCCTTGAAAAAATATTCTTTAAAAAATCCACGCCTTTCGAAGGCCTTGAAAAAATATTCTTTAAAAAATCCACGCCTTTCGAAGGCCTTGAAAAAATATTCTTTAAAAAATCCACGCCTTTCGAAGGCCTTGAAAAAATATTCTTTAAAAAATCCACGCCTTTCGAAGGCCTTGAAAAAATATTCTTTAAAAAATCCACGCCTTTCGAAGGCCTTGAAAAAATATTCTTTAAAAAATCCACGCCTTTCGAAGGCCTTGAAAAAATATTCTTTAAAAAATCCACGCCTTTCGAAGGCCTTGAAAAAATATTCTTTAAAAAATCCACGCCTTTCGAAGGTCTTGAAAAAATATTCTTTAAAAAATCCACGCCTTTCGAAGGCCTTGAAAAATATTCTTTAAAAAATCCACGTCCAGGTCAAAGTCATTGAACCCGGATGCCGGTTATAGGTCATTGACAACGGATTAAAGGTCATTGACCTCTGATTAAGGACAGTGACCCCGGATTAAAGGTCATTGACCCCGAATTAAGGGTTAATCCGTTTTAAAGGCCATTGACCCCGGATTAACGACCTTAATCCGGAGGCAATAACCTTTGATCCGTATCTGGGGTCAATGACCTTCGACCACGACCTATCAAAGGCGTGGATTTTTTAAAGTATATTTATTCAAAGCCTACCAAAGGCATAGATTTTTAAGGAATATTTTTCAAGACCTAGGAAAGGCGTGGATTTTTTAATGAATACTTTTTTAAGGCCTATCCAAGGCTTTGATTTTTAAAGGAGACATTTTTCAGGGCCTATGAAAGGCGTGGATTTTTTAAAGTATATTTTTTCAAGGCCTACCAAAGGCGTGGACATTTGTCAGGCCTATCCAAGGCGTGGATTTTTTAAAGTATATTTTTTCAAGGCCTACCAAAGGCGTGGACATTTGTCAGGCCTATCCAAGGCGTGGATTTTTTAAAGAATATTTTTGTCAGACCTATCCAAGGCTTGGATTGATTTGAAGAATATTTTTTCAAGGCCTATCCCAGGCGTGGATTGTTTTGAAGAATATTTTTTCAAGACCTACCAAAGGCGTGGATTTTTTAAAGAATATTTTTGTCAGGCCTATCCAAGACGTGGATTGTTTTGAAGAATATTTTTTCAAGGCCTATCCAAGCGCTGGATTTTATACAGTATATTTTTTCAAGGCCTACCAATGGCGTGGATTTTTTTGAAGAATATTTTTTCAGGGCGTATCCAAAGCGTGGATTTTTAAAGGAGACATTTTTCAGGGCCTATCCAAGTCGTGGATTTTTAAAGGAGACATTTTCAGGGCCTATCCAAGGTGTGGATTTTTAAAGGAGACATTTTTCAGGGCCTATCCAAGGGGTGGATTTTTAAATGAGACATTTTTCAGAGGCGTGGACATTTTTGAAGAAAATTTTTTCAAGGCTTAACAAAGGCGTGGGTATTTTTGAAGAATATGTTTTCAAGACCTACCAAAGGCGTGGAATTTTTTTGAAGAATATTTTTTCAAGGCCTATATATACAAATTTCCATGAAAATGATTTAAATCTGTAAAAAAACATTTTCAAAACACACGCAAATATTTCAAAACAATTTTAATAATACCCAAACAAAACATTCTTATCTTTGCAGCAACAACAACAACTGGTCAGCAGCGACAGTAGACCTTATCAGAGGCAATCCGGCAAGCAGAATAAGTCATTTAAAAATTTTCAAATCATAAACAAACGAAGCAATAAAATCGATATATAAACGGTCATTCGATCCTCACGACCAACAATTAATTGCCCAGCCATAACATGGGTCCAATATAGATATTATATCTGATAAAATAAAAAAATCAAGTATATAATATAACTCAAAGTTTCTTCTTGAGGTGTCTGAACAAAATTTTCTGTATTTGCAGCTGACAGTTGGAGTCGTGCTCCAATAACCATCAAAACATATTTAAGCGAGCCATACTGCGCTCGTAACATTCAAAAAGAAAAGTTGCCACCATGAAAATAAGTTTAGTATCCGTTTTTGTCCTGCTGATGGTGGTGTGTTCTGCCAAGGCGGTGCGTTTGGTGGGTGGCACCAATGAAACCGTCCAGTTCGGCCAGGAACGAATTGTGGGAGGCCAGGTGGCCGAAGTGGGTTTTGCCAAATACCAAATCTCTTTGCAAGGTGCATTCGGTGGTCATATGTGTGGTGGTGCCATTATCGACAACCGTTGGGTCCTGACTGCCTGCCATTGTGTGGATGGCTATAACCCCGCCTTCTTGCGTGTCATAACCGGAACAAATGTTTATTTCGAACCTGGAGCCGTTTATGAAGTTGAAGAATTCTATTGTCATTGTAATTATGATAATCCGACATATCACAACGATATCGCCCTGCTGTACCTGAAGGAACCCATTGTCTATGATGAGTTGACCCAGCCAATTCCTTTGCCTGTTAGTCCCTTGAAGGATGGTGATGAGGTGATTCTAACCGGTTGGGGTGATAACATTCTATGGGGTGGTACTCCCGATAATCTCTATAAACTCTATACGAAATTTGTCACCTATGAGGATTGTTATGAAATATTTGGCGGAGTGCCAATGTTGGATGTTGGTCACATTTGTACATTCACCAAGGTTGGCGAAGGTTCGTGTCATGGTGATTCTGGCGGACCTTTGGTCAGCAATGGCCATTTGGTGGGTTTGGTTAATTGGGGTTTTCCCTGTGCTACTGGTAGCCCTGATGCTCACTGCAATGTATATTTCTATTTGGATTGGATTCGTAAGGCTATGAGCCAGAAATGTCGTGATTGTCACTGCAGTGCCAGTAATTATCCTTTTTCAAATAAGGAAGTTGGAGCAACTAAATATTAAGTGGAACTGTTGTTTTATACTATAAAATAAATATTTCAGAAAGTGCAATTTATCAATATATTATCATTGGCGTGAATTTTGTAAAAATATTTTTCAAAGCTTATCATAGGCGGGAGGTGGCCTTGTTTCTAAACTGCTTACTTAGACCATAGTTGCCATCACAATCCTTCTCCGAATTTCAAAACTGATGTCATTCGTTTAATTTATGGCGATACCAAGGTATATAAAGTTTTCAACTACCTCGAAGCTGTAGTTCTCAAGTTCCACAGTTGGTCCGAGTCTACTTGCGCGTTGATAGCATCAGCGTAGTCTTCTCGCCATTTACTGCCAGACCCACTTTGACAGACTCCTACTCAATTTGTTCAAAGGTGGCTGTTACCGCTCGCAATATTCGACCCATTATATCGATGTCATCGGCGTAGGCGAGTAACATGTGTTGCTTGATGTACAAAGAGTCATTTCTGTTCACCTTTGAGTCTCGTATGACCTTTTCCAGCAGGATTTTAAAGTTATCCTACATAACCGTATTCATTTTGCAGGATTGCCGAACGTAGAGATGTCGACGAATAGGTGGTATGTGTCGATGTATTTTTCGTGGGTCTTTTCCAGGATTTGGCGCAGAGTGAAAATCTGGTCAATGGTGGATTTGCCAGGTCTGAAGCCGCATTGGTATGGTCAAATGATGTCATTGACCATTGGCTTCAATCGTTCACACAGCACACTGGATAGCACTTTATATGCGATGGGAAGAAGGCTAATTCCTCTATAGTTGGCACATATCGTTCCGTTCCTTTTTTGTGCACGGGACACAGGATGCTGAGGTTCTAATCATTGGACATGCATTCCTCTAGCTAAATTGTACTAAACAGCTAGTGCATGCTCCTGACCAGAATCTGACCACCAGTCTGGAATAGTTCGGCTGGTAACCCATCGGCTCCTGCTGCTTTATTGTTCTTTCTCCTCTCTCCTTTTCTTCCGATAGTTCACCATCACATTACGTGTTGCTACTGTCCGCAGGGTTGCCTTATACGCTGCGTTTTTCACATCAGTAGCATTACGACACTCCTGACCGTACCATGGGTTTCCTGATGGTGGTTTTTGGTACCCAAGTATTGCTTTTGCTGCAGTTTGTAGGGAGTGGGCAATTATTTGCCATTGTGCTTCTATATTATTATCGGGACAGGGGGTGCTTTCGTCAAGCAGTTGGGTAAGTTGAGCGGAGTAGGCCTCTGCTATATGTTGTGTTTGCAGCTTCTCGACGTCGAGTTTCCGTGTTGTGTTAGATCACACCTTTGCTGCAACATTAAGACGAGTGCGAACCTTGGCCGCCACAAGGTAATGGTCCTAATCGATATTCACTCCTCGGATCGATCGGGTGTCTAAAACACTGGATGAATGCCTTCCGTCTATCACAAGATGATTAATTTGATTTCTCGTTGCTTGATCAGGAGAAATCCAGGTAGTCTTGTGTATATCGGGATGCTTGAACCTGGTGCTGCTAACTACCATGTTTTTTTTTGCTGCCGCAAAGCCAATAAACCTCATGCCGTTGTCGGATGTGTCTTCATGAAGACTGAATTGTCGGAAAATTCAGTCTTCATGAAGACACATCCGGGGCCAAAGATATTTTCCCATTCTGATTATTGCATTAAAATCTCCTAGCAGAATTTTAATGTCATGGCCAGGGCATCGATCATATGCTGTTTCTAGGCGTTCGTAAAATATGTCCTTGGTCTGCTCATTTTTGTCTTCGGTCCGAACATGGACGCAAATGAGACTGATGTAGAATAACTTCGCTTTTATGCGGATTATAGCAATTTGCTCATCTACTGGAGTGAATCTGGAGACGAGGTCTTTTATTCTCCTCTTAACCATAAATCCACAGCCGAATTCATGTCTCGTTTCTTGGCAGCTATAATGAAGTGCGTAATGGTCTGATTTACTAACGCCTGCCCCTTTCCATCACATTTCCTGTAAGTCAATAATATCGGCTTTTTACTTCTTGAGTACATCCGCCAAAGCGAAAACTGCGCCTTTTCTGCACAACGTGCGCACATTCCAAGTGCAGATCGTGGTCCTTTATACATTTGCAGGGGTCGTCAACATTAAGGGGGTTTGGTTTTCTTTTTCTTTGTTTTTTTCATAGTAGGATCGGTTCTTCGAGTGTAGGCAACTAACCCGACGCCTCAACCCATTAATTTATAGTTGTTATGGGTGAACTCGTGGCACATATTAGCTCACTATTTCATCGGGTGATGAAAATAGCTACCCCAGGTGGCACCACGGGGATGTCAGTGAACACAATTGAGATAGACATATAAAAAATCCACGCCTATGATAGGCCTATAAAAAATCCACGCCTATGATAGGCCTATAAAAAATCCACGCCTATGATAGGCCTATAAAAAATCCACGCCTATGATAGGCCTATAAAAAATCCACGCCTATGATAGGCCTATAAAAAATCCACGCCTATGATAGGCCTATAAAAAATCCACGCCTATGATAGGCCTATAAAAAATCCACGCCTATGATAGGCCTATAAAAAATCCACGCCTATGATAGGCCTATAAAAAATCCACGCCTATGATAGGCCTATAAAAAATCCACGCCTATGATAGGCCTATAAAAAATCCACGCCTATGATAGGCCTATAAAAAATCCAGAGTTGCCATTATGAAAATAAGTATAGGATACGTTTTTGTCCTGCTAGTGGTGGTGTCTGTCGCCAGGGCAGTTCGTTTGGTGGGTGGCACCAAACAGCTAGTGCATGCTCCTGACCAGAATCTGACCACCAGTCTGGAATAGTTCGGCTGGTAACCCATCGGCTCCTGCTGCTTTATTGTTCTTTCTCCTCTCTCCTTTTCTTCCGATAGTTCACCATCACATTACGTGTTGCTACTGTCCGCAGGGTTGCCTTATACGCTGCGTTTTTCACATCAGTAGCATTACGACACTCCTGACCGTACCATGGGTTTCCTGATGGTGGTTTTTGGTACCCAAGTATTGCTTTTGCTGCAGTTTGTAGGGAGTGGGCAATTATTTGCCATTGTGCTTCTATATTATTATCGGGACAGGGGGTGCTTTCGTCAAGCAGTTGGGTAAGTTGAGCGGAGTAGGCCTCTGCTATATGTTGTGTTTGCAGCTTCTCGACGTCGAGTTTCCGTGTTGTGTTAGATCACACCTTTGCTGCAACATTAAGACGAGTGCGAACCTTGGCCGCCACAAGGTAATGGTCCTAATCGATATTCACTCCTCGGATCGATCGGGTGTCTAAAACACTGGATGAATGCCTTCCGTCTATCACAAGATGATTAATTTGATTTCTCGTTGCTTGATCAGGAGAAATCCAGGTAGTCTTGTGTATATCGGGATGCTTGAACCTGGTGCTGCTAACTACCATGTTTTTTTTTTGCTGCCGCAAAGCCAATAAACCTCATGCCGTTGTCGGATGTGTCTTCATGAAGACTGAATTGTCGGAAAATTCAGTCTTCATGAAGACACATCCGGGGCCAAAGATATTTTCCCATTCTGATTATTGCATTAAAATCTCCTAGCAGAATTTTAATGTCATGGCCAGGGCATCGATCATATGCTGTTTCTAGGCGTTCGTAAAATATGTCCTTGGTCTGCTCATTTTTGTCTTCGGTCCGAACATGGACGCAAATGAGACTGATGTAGAATAACTTCGCTTTTATGCGGATTATAGCAATTTGCTCATCTACTGGAGTGAATCTGGAGACGAGGTCTTTTATTCTCCTCTTAACCATAAATCCACAGCCGAATTCATGTCTCGTTTCTTGGCAGCTATAATGAAGTGCGTAATGGTCTGATTTACTAACGCCTGCCCCTTTCCATCACATTTCCTGTAAGTCAATAATATCGGCTTTTTACTTCTTGAGTACATCCGCCAAAGCGAAAACTGCGCCTTTTCTGCACAACGTGCGCACATTCCAAGTGCAGATCGTGGTCCTTTATACATTTGCAGGGGTCGTCAACATTAAGGGGGGTTGGTTTTCTTTTTCTTTGTTTTTTTCATAGTAGGATCGGTTCTTCGAGTGTAGGCAACTAACCCGACGCCTCAACCCATTAATTTATAGTTGTTATGGGTGAACTCGTGGCACATATTAGCTCACTATTTCATCGGGTGATGAAAATAGCTACCCCAGGTGGCACCACGGGGATGTCAGTGAACACAATTGAGATAGACATATAAAAAATCCACGCCTATGATAGGCCTATAAAAAATCCACGCGTATGATAGGCCTATAAAAAATCCACGCCTATGATAGGCCTATAAAAAATCCACGCCTATGATAGGCCTATAAAAAATCCACGCCTATGATAGGCCTATAAAAAATCCACGCCTATGATAGGCCTATAAAAAATCCACGCCTATGATAGGCCTATAAAAAATCCACGCCTATGATAGGCCTATAAAAAATCCACGCCTATGATAGGCCTATAAAAAATCCACGCCTATGATAGGCCTATAAAAAATCCACGCCTATGATAGGCCTATAAAAAATCCACGCCTATGATAGGCCTATAAAAAATCCACGCCTATGATAGGCCTATAAAAAATCCACGCCTATGATAGGCCTATAAAAAATCCAGAGTTGCCATTATGAAAATAAGTATAGGATACGTTTTTGTCCTGCTAGTGGTGGTGTCTGTCGCCAGGGCAGTTCGTTTGGTGGGTGGCACCAATGAAACCGTCCAGTTCGGCCAGGAACGCATTGTGGGTGGCCAGGTGGCCGAAGTGGGTTTCGCCAAATACCAAATATCTTTGCAAACAGTATTCGGTGGCCATATGTGCGGTGGTGCTATTATCGACAACCGTTGGGTTCTGACTGCCTGTCATTGTATGGATGGTGTTAACCCCGACATGTTGCGTGTCATAACTGGGACCAATGTTACTTCGAACCTGGAGCCGTTTATGAAATTGAGGAATTTTATTGCCATTGTAATTATGATAATCCCACATACCACAACGATAT